GGGTTCAGTTGAGAGACTCTGCCTCAATGATTAACATGACAAGTGATGGAGGAAGTCTCAACATCAACCTCAGGCCTCCACATGCATGAGCATACACATGTATGCACTTGTGTGCCCACACACATATATGCATACATACCACACAGGCATACACATGAAAAAGAATAATAATAAAATAAAGGAAGTGTTTCCACTTCCTCTCCCTGTTTCCAAGGAGCTCATAATCTAGCTGAAGAGGTCAAATACATATACATTTATGGAATTATTTAAGGAACTTTGCAGAGCATAAGGATAGTAAATATGAGTCAATTTATAAACTTCCCTCCTAAGTATTATGAGAATTCCAAATTCATTCCTTTATTCTTTACCAAGCATTTACTGAGTGTCAACAGTGAGCTAGCTGCTGGACAGACACTCTGCTAGACAGAATGACATAAGACAAATTATGCAGAATTAAGAATAATCTTAGCATTCTGATGATAGGAGTATTGATTTAGATTTTGAAGAAAGTATGCATAGACTAGCAGAAAATATATAAAATAGCAAATTTAGAACTTTGTGTTAGAAAATTTTTAGCTATTCATTCATGTACATATCTTTCTAAAGAGTTTATAGGAACTACACATGCACTTTTTGAATACTTCACATGTTGAACATTTTTAGCTACTGTAACGTAAAAGAGAGTAGGGACTGAAGATATATCTCAGTGGTTAGGAGCACTGGCTGCTCTTGCAGAGGAGCCAGGTTAGGTTCCCAGCACCCACATAGCAGCTAACAACTATCTGTAACTCCAGTTCCAGGGGATGTGATGCCCTCTTCTGACCTCCATGGGCATTGCACAGCACAGGTGTACTTAGATATGTGCAGGCAATACACTCATATACATAAAAAATAAAAATAATGAATAAAATAGTTTTTAAAGGCTAGAAATTACTCTTGGACAAGTAAGCAAAAAACAAAATTATTTGGAAGCTGTACTTGAGTTATTTCAGACTATACTGGAGAAATAGATGACTTGACCATAGGAGGGTTGATTTTTGAGATAAGAGATTTCACCATGTTACCCAGGCTTGTCTTGAATTGTGAAACTCAGATGGTCTTTCCACTTAAGCCTTTAACTAGGATTAAAGTCATAGGCCCCTGCACATGACCTATGATAATATTTTCTCTGCTTGTGCATTAGGAAAAAAGATTACAAGTTGATAGTATAGCCCTACCTCCATTTTTGGATCCAGAGTTTTAAAATGCTTGACAGGAGAGGACTTAACATGTATGGAAGAATACATGAGGTCTGCTGGGGAGGCTGGGGGACATGGATGGGGTGGGGTCTGAATTTGATTAAGAACTATTGTATTAATTGCACAAAAGCTCAATTATAAAAAACACTGGTTGTTCTTGCAGAAGACCTGGGTTCGAATCCCAGCACCCACATGGCAGCTAACAACTGTCCATAACTCCAGTCCCAGGGGATCCGACAGCTTCTTCT